ACAGCATCAGAACTCTAAGCACCTGAGAGGGAGTGGGAACCTCCCAGAACATTGTATTGTGCCACGCCCAACAGAAATACTCCACATGGATAACATTTACAATCAGGAGCTCCTCAATTGCTCATTCCACCACCGAGTTTACAAAGACTTATGGGTAGAAAAGCCACACCAAGTAATTTACTACACCACAGATTGGTAATCAGCTCCATGGTGGAATCTATTGGAGCAGCTGAGTAGCTGCCTTAGGGATGTGGTTTGTTTCCAGTATATAAGGAGAAGTTTTAAGAAAGGTCTCTGCAGCTTTTTGGCATGCTTGGACTCTGCATGTAGCTGAGTCTTCATTTAGCAGCCTGCTATTTTTACTGCTGATCTTGGGACTGTCGCTGGACTTGAACAAGTGGCCTGCCATGTTGTTTGGTAATACTGGGACTGTACCATTTTACTTGTCGACCTTGGGTTTGCTAGCCTCAGCAGCTAACAGCTGCCTGAGTAAAGAGACACCTCTAGCTCCAATGGGCCAGGATCAAGAGGCATAGCTGAAGCCCAAGGTCGAGGGGCTTTCACCCAGGCCCTAGAGCTGGTACTTTGAACTCAGACTTCTAGCCTCCTAAACTTGTAAGAAAATAAATCCTTGTTTGTTAAAGCCATACACGTGTGGTATTTTCTGTTAGAACAGCACTAGAGGTAACCAATACAAGTATATTTAGATTTTTAATTTCTTCTTGAGTCAGTTTCGGTAGATTGTATCTTTGTTGAAATTTGTCCATTTCATCTAGGTTATTTGTTGACAGACAACTCTTCATGGTATTCCTTTATAATCCTTTTTATTTTTGTTCGGTTGGTAGTAATGTCCACTCTTTTGTTCCTGATTATAATAATTTCAGTCTTCTCTTTTTGTTAATTTTGTTGATCTTTTCATAGAACTACTTTTAGTTTTAATTATTTTCTATTGTTTTATTCTTTATGCCATGTATTTAAGGAACACTGGTGATGCAAACGGTTAAGTGCTTGGCTGCTAACCGAAAGGTTGGTGGTTCAAACCTACCAGCCGCTCCAAGAAAGATATGGCAGTCTGCTTCTACAAATATTTACAACCTTGGAAACCTTATGGGGCAGGGTGTCCTCTGCACTAAAAGGTCACTAATAGTCAGAATCAACTCGATGCCAGCAGGCTCTGTTAGGTTTAGCTGGTGGCGCAAATGATTAAGTGCTTGACTATTCAAACCTACACAGCAGTTCTATGGGAAAAAGACCTGGCAAACTGCTTCTAAGAAGACCCTATGGGGCAGTTCTACTCTGTCACATGGGGTCACTATGCATCAAAAAAGACTCAATTGGCACCTCTGACATCAACAACACCACTTCATAGAATACTCTATTCTTTATGAGTTCCTTCTTTATGTGTGCTTTCCATTTAATTTGTCCTTTTTCTAGTTTCTTAAGGTGGAAGTTGCATTATTGATTTTTGAGGTCTTCTTTCTTCGTATAAAACCAAAAACCAAACCCACTGCCACCGAGTCAATTCCAACTCATAGCGACCCCCACTGGGTCTGAGGTGGTAAACCTTTATGGAAGTAGATCACCCAGTCTTGTTTCCGTGAGGTGGCTGGTGGGCTTGAACCACCAATCTTCTGGTTAGCAGCTAGACGCCTTAGGCACTGTGCTACCAGAGCGCCTTCTTTTCTCTTATAGGAATTAAAAAAAAAAAAAAAAACACCTCACTGCCATTGAGTCAATTCTGACTCACAGCGACACCCAGTAGGTTTCCGAGGTAGTAAATCTTTACAGAAGGAGACTGCCCAGTCCTCCTTCCATGGAGCGGCTGGTGCGTTTGAACTGCCAACCTTCTGGTTAACACTCAAATGCCTTAGACACTATGCCACCAGAGCTCCTTTCTTATAGGAATATACTGCTATAATTTCCTTCTAGCACTGATTAAACCACATCCAACAGATTTGGTATGTTGTGTTTTCATTGGTCTCAAAGTATTTAATGATTTCCCTTCCAATTTCTTATTTGACCCATGAATATTTAGTGTTGTTAAACTGCCACATTATTTGTTCTCAAATTTCCTTCTGTTACTTTTATTTCATTACTCATTCTTCAGTTCAACTTTGAATAAAAATCTAAAAAAGAATCCTATATTTAAAAGAAATCTCTGTAAGAAAATATCTATAATCACTTCTACCACCTACAGCCTAGACAATATCAGAGATAATCTTTCATACATTGTGGGATAAGAAAAGAAGAATTGAAATGAGAAAAGTTGAGAACATGTAAATTTTATATAGTATTTTACAAATTATACAAAATGCTTTTATATCCATGACTGTATGAAAATAAATGAATCTAAAAAATATATCGAGTATTATTTGTAACACAAAATAGACACAGCTAATAAGGTAGCAAAACAAAATACCTGATAGGTGTTGTCAAAACTGTCATACATGAATCTGGTGATCAAGGATGTCTTTCCAACTGAAATGCAAAAAAGAGATTTATTCAGTAAATACAAGTCTTCGTTCTCAAAACAATTCTTCTATAGAGAATTGCAATTAAACTAAATGTTAAATATCCGCAATAGTTCCACTAACAACAATTAAAAGCCACATGGTCCTGAGTTTGTCACATGCCTTTCTTTAAATACAGACAGCAACCCCTCAAATAAATAGTACAGGTAAACAATATTTATTAAGAGTTGAGTATGAAAAAAAAACAGGATGAAGGGAAATAATCAATTATGTAAACATCCCCAATTCACAAAAGGCCAAGCAGATATCTTTGCCCCCAGCAAAAAAAGCAGAGATTTTACCTGTTGTCTGCTACAGGGAAGTTCAAATTTAGATTTAAATTTAGAGTTTAAATCCAGACAACTCAACTGCCTCCTAGGACAAAATCACCCTTTGGATGAACAGCAAAATATCTCTCTATATATTCTAATTACATCCAACATATAGTTGCAAATTATTAGACATAAGAAAAAAAAGAAAAACATAATTAATACTTAAGGAACAAGTAGTCAATGAAAACAGGGTCTGATATGTCCTTCTGTCTTCAGTTAGCAGACAAAGATTTAAAGAAATCACTATCATAATATATACGTGTGTGTGTGTGTGTGTGGTGTGTATGATTTAATACTTAAAGGAAGATATACACATAAAAAATTAACAGATGGGAAAGGGAAATCTTAGTAGAGAAATATAAATGAGAAACAAGAACCAAATGCAAACTCTGGGTATAACCAATAAGGAAAAGTACCCGTTTAGATTTACAGAAGACTGGAAATAGCAAAAGAAATTATTAGTATACCTGAATACAGATCAATAGTAATTATAAATTTGAAAAACAGAGAAAAATATTAAGAAAAATAAATAAAGCCTCAGTTATGTAGGGTATAATATAGTCTAATATATGTACAATTGCATTTCCAGGAGAATGACAGAGAAGAGAACGAGGGAAAATATTTGTAGAAATATAGCCAAAAACATCCCAAATAAAGTGAATTTCAAGAACTCACAGATCCAGGAAACACTACAAACTCCAAACAAGATAAACACAGAGAAAATCACACCTTGGCAACCGCTGAAATACAAAGATAAAGAGAAAACCTTGAAAATAGACAAGGAAAACACATCACACGTGGGAGGCAGATGGGGCGGAGATAAGAAAGGAGAATATATAAATTTTTACTAACTTCTGTATAGAGACAATGAAATGACATCTTTAAATTACAGAAAGAAAAAAAGTCCAAACCCCAAATCTTGAATCCCATGAAACTAACCTTTAAAAATGAAGATGAAATAAAGATAGTTGTAGATAAACAAAAGTGAGACATTCCTTGTCAGGAGACCTATACTATAGAAATGCTTAAAAATTTCTTCAGGATAATGGGAATGGCACCACAGAATAATCCTAAATGGTAAATATGGGGATAAAAATAAAAGATTACATATTTTTTCTTTTTAATGTCTTTATAATACATAAAACATTTTAAAGTAAAAATTATAATGTAGAATAAGGTTTTAAAGATATACAGATTTAATGCATATGTCAAGTGTAACACAAAGGACAAAGGGAGGAAATGCAAGTATACTACTGCAATGTTCCTATATTTGACATGGATAGTACAATATAGACTGAAAGATTACTGATGCATACACCTGTGAGAGGTCTGATCAACTACTAAAAGCATGTGTAAAAAGGAATACCTAAACAATCAATTGTTGTTGTTGTTGTTATGTGCCGTCGAGTCGGCCCCGACTCATAGCGACCCCTCCTTGGGATTCCGAGGCAGTATCACTACGGAAGTAGGATTGCCCAACCTTCCTTCTGAGGAGTGGCTGGTGGGTTTGAAACGCCAGCCTTCTGGTTAGCAGTCAAGTGCTTTAGCCACTATGCTACCAGAGCTCCTAAACAGTCAATAGAGGGATCAAAATTGAACACTAAAACAAGAACATAAAATAGATGAGACAAACAATAAATAAACAGCAAATGGCAGACCCAAATCCAGCCATATCGATATGTACAGTACACCTCAGTACAATCATCCATATGAGACCAAAAGGGTAGCATCTGCCCAAAAACAAACCTCAGAAAATAGGAAAGGATGAATGGAAATGGGGAACCCAGGGAGGAAGTGGGAAGAGTGCTGTGACACTGAAAAGATTACAATCAATGTCATAAAACAAAATGTGTATAAATTATAAAATGGAAAACTAATTTGCTCTATGAACTTTCACCCAAATCACAATAAAAAGTTTTAAAATATATATGTAGAACAAACAAACAAAAGTAGATCACCCTGTCTTCCTTCCACAGAGCAACTGGTGGCTTTGAACCGCTGATCTTCTGGTTAGTAGGTAAGTGCCTTATCCACTATGC